GGGTGGGGGGCTGGGCGACTCTGTGCTCAGGCCTGTGGCTCTGCGGCACCGAGTTTGAAATGGGGAGGAGTGTTACAGCTTTCCTCGAAGACGTCGAAGATCTCGCACCCGACGGTCTCATCAACTGGCAACGAGCTGCTCAAGAAACCGTTGCTGCTGGCGGAGGGTGCGCGCACCCGGTATTCATAGGGGGAACACTTGATAGCAACAGGGTCTATTCTGGGGAAATTTTGTTTCCTAAATTAAGAGCTAAGGAGACAAACATCATCTACATGTTTGCTTCGGTGTATGGTGTGCAGACCTGCCAGTAACATCAAGTCCTTGATTTCGCTGCTCCGGTATTCGGGTCACGACGCAGACGTGTTTTTGAACTTTTCCAATGAATTCACGAGCCAGTCTGTGCATCCTTACCTCAATCCACGGACGGAGCAGGACTTGCTATTGGACTTGGACGAAGCCTTTTCTAATTGGTACAAGTTAAAGAAGGCGGAAGACGTCGCCGATCTGTGCGGGCACATATGTATGCGGCTCGGTAAATGCGACAAAGCTCTCAAGTACCTACAGGTAATCCACACACACCCAGTGAATCTACAGGAGTTTTTATTTACTCGTTTGTGGAGTTTCATCCCCCTAAACGGAATTATCTGGATGCTTGTACATCTTCGTAAGTTGCATGCACACTTATTTTTTGCTCTTAGGCAAGCGCCAACTTAGACGGCGAGCGCCTACATCCGTCCACTTGTGTCAACCTCGCAAGCTGCTACAAAGTCGAAGGCAAATTTGAAGCTGGAATCACGTGGTGCGAAAAGGCCTTGCAGATCGACCCCAACTACGCTCAGGCTGCGCAAATGCTGCGCACGCTGAACATGTGCAAAAACCCAGTCCGAATAGCTGTAATTGGGTTTGGATACTGGACCCAGTAGGTCTTTGTTCCCGCTACCTCTATTACATGCACGAAGCAAGTAGATGTTTTGAGTAAAACACGTCTCTCTGAGGTGCTTCACTACGTGAGAATACTCTTTTAACTCTGTTCCTTTGGGATTTGCTCCCTGTGTGCATTTTGTAGATACGAGGCCCTTCCGCTGCTCCGTCGTGATACGCGGTTGAAGATCGTCGCAGCATTTGCATTTACGCAGGAAGAAGCTGCTGCGCTCATTCAGAAAGGGGAGCTTACAGAAGCTGAGATGTACAGCGGGTCTCAAGGGCTGACATCGTTGTTAGAAAGAACAGACATTCAGGCGGTGGTCGTCGACGTGCACATGCAGCTAATGGTATGGCTTCTAGGAAAGCGTTTCGAGCTAGGTTTTTAAGTATGTGTTTCCCCCTCCGATTGTTGTTTTGTTGTATTTTGAGTTGTTTTACTTCGTTGTAGATGTCTCTACTCCCACGCATCTTCGCTATGGGCAAGCACGTGCTGACGCGGTCTCCCATGCAGCTGAGCCTTGCAAACGCGTCGGCCCTCTTAGACGTCTACAGGCCGTACAGCAACTCGCTGGTGTGGCATGCAGTTGAAAACAACCGACAAGAAGAGGCTTTTGAACAGGCCGCTGCCAAAGTAGCC